GATGTTGTTGTTTATTATTTTGAATTTTTATTTATCATATTGCTCAATGTAATATTCAAAATTCAATTTTTAAGTAACAATATAGAACAACTTCATTAACGATTTTAATTTTAATTATATAATATAAAATTTGCTTGTCATATTTTTTTCAAAGTATAAATAATTAATTGTAATTTTTTCTACTTTCATGAAAATAAAAATTTATGCAAAAATATATGCAATAAAAGCTTTATTTCATTTTATAATTATTTTTTATTTTATTCTTTAAAATAGAAAAGATAATAATCAAAAAATTACTGCTATTTTTTAATTAATTGAAAATTATAACAATTTCATTCGATCTTAAATCAATAAAAATATTGTATACTTATAGTATTTTTATAGTAAAAAATATTTCAGATATTATCTATTTATATTTTACAATTTTTATTTTTTATTCAATTACGTCATTTTTATATTGCATTCTGTCAGAATGAGATTATATATTTTCATTCGGTTGTAATTAGATCGTACTAATAATTCTTGTTCAATGAGAACATATCTATATTACTTTCTGTTATGACTATATTATACAGATGGAAATCTTAATAAAAAAAATAATAAATAAAATTATTTTAACTATTATTCATTATTCGAAGCATCAAAGAACAATTAAATGTAGCTTTGAATAAAAGTTGTAACTGTAATTTTAATTTAACTTTATTCAAAGATTTCAATTAACTAAATAATACATACCGTGTATGATTGTATATGATAATGAATAATGTTTTAATTATGATTTTGATTTATGATTTCATCTACTCTTTTATTCCAAGAATGTGCAAGTGTGTTAATAATATCAATGAAAATCCATCACCTAGCAGAAACGAACAATCACAACTCTTAGCTATTTTAAATAATTATTTTTTATAATAATACCGAAAGAAATCAAATTAAAAAATAGTTGTAAAATTTTCTTTAATATTTTGCCAAAAAAAAAATTAAAGATTGTATTATCATCTAATTCTTCTTGTTGAAAAAATACTCAAGATAAATATTATATGGTTAACAAGAAATAAGAATTTTCTCATAGTACTGAAATATCAAATCAAAAAATAATTATAGAATTGTTTACAATGTACTTTTCAAAAGGAACGAAAATTAAAGAACAATAATTATTGTAATCATTTTAAACGCCATTAGAAAAGAAAAATAACAACAAAGAATGCAATCAATGAAGAAATCGTAATCCAGCGATGTTCTCCAAAAAATAATTTGAAATTTAAATGTCAAAATATGTAATTGATTCAATAATTTATTATCATTCATGAAGAATATATATTTCTGAACAACTCTCGTAAAAATTGGTATTATTCTCAACTTACTATTGGATAAAAACGAATAATTTATTAGACAAATTTCTAGTATAAAGAAGAAAATTAAAAAACACAGAATATGCATATACATTATATTGATACATGATCAAAAAGGTGAAGAATTGTTTTAATATAATTATTCATTTTATTTTTACAAATTTGAAAAAAAATCTATTCTCGCTTGTTACAGCTGAATACATTCCTTCGATAAGATTGCAAGCTTCTTAGAAAGCACCCATATGAATGAATTAGCGATATGAAAATTAAATTGTTTAATTCCATTAAAATAATCATTTGATTTTTTTTAGAAGTATTTTGGCAAAAAATTAAAAACTTATGAAGTAGAGTTTCAATCAATTTAATCTGAATAGCTTAACTGTAGAAAATTGTCAATAATGAAAACAATTCTTCCGTACTATTCAAAATGTTTGAAGCACGAAATATATGAAAGCAATTCTTTCGAAGTATTCAAAATGTTTGGATACATCCATCAAAAAGGAAGAAAAAAACAAGAAAAATAGATAAATAATAGAAAAAAAATAAGAAGATCAAATTGAAAAAAAAATAATATATATATATATATAGAAAATTAATGCATTTGATGCATACAAAAATTGATTATTTTAGTTTTTCAATCTCTATTAAGAAGCATAGAGAAACAATTTTATAATTTTGAATGACACAGCGGGCAAACAATGCATGTATATCGATATAGAAAAAATTAATATATTTGAAAATTGATTATTTTAAACTATTACTTATATTACTTTTAATCTATGTTAAGAAATGTAAAAAATTAATAAATATTCCACATTTATACAGAAAATTAATATGATATTAAATCATATTTGTATAAAGAAATTGATATGAATTATGTTTGAATTTCTAATATATAATACAAATATAAATTTGTAATTACTTTGTAATATATAATATAAAGTATATTTTAAAATATTAATTATTATAATATTAATTTTTAGCTTACTTTCATATAAATATATACCTTCATATAAAAGTATTTATAGAAATAGCAGAAAAAATTAAAAAATCTATTTTTACATTTAATTTTATTAATAAAAAATGGATTTTAACATACCAAATTTTGAAATACTTATTTTAATCCACATATTCCCCAGTGATTTGTTCAGCCGGTTAACTTTGTCCTTGTCTATAGCTTAATCTTCGAACTATTTTACTTATATTTTCTCTTTCAGTTACTCATTAAAAATAATTGTAGTCTAAATATTTGATAGTTATCCCCAGTGATTGAATATCTAATAACAAAAAATCTTTGATCTAATAAAAATCTTTATAAAAAAATTTTTGTCTAATGATAAGAAAAAATCTTATTGTTATTATTGTCTTTTTATTAGAGATAATATTTGTCGAAATAAAAAGTATTAATTTAAAAATTTATTATAAAAATTATAAATAAATAAATAAAATAATTTCTTGATCTATGAAAAATATTCATTCTTATTTTCAAAATTAATCAATCTTTAAAGCAATAGGAATCTTTATAAGTTTCGTTAAATCTATTCCTATTATCTTTAACAAATGACTGTCAACACTTTTTGATTTTATTAAATATCTACAGAATCAATACATTTAAAATTTCAATGAACGTTATTTTTATTACCTTAATGAATTTTTACGAGGCATAATTCAAAGAATTATTTATTTTTAACATAATTATAGAATAACTTTTATTACATTTAATATTACCATTTTCATATTCATTTCATTCAAAATAATTTTCCATAATAATTAAATGATATTTTTTCAAAAATATCATTTAATAAAATAATAACAAAATTATAACTGCTGATTTTTAGTTTTTGTATTAAAAAAAAAACTAAATAAAAATAATTTTGTATAAAATTTACTTAATACGTAATTTAGTCGGCATGCCGATTCTCTTAATGAATTATTATTATTATTCAAAATTCATGATTTTATGATAATATAAAATAAATTAATAATAAAATTAATAAATTATAAATCAGCTATTAAATTTATCTTGAATTATAAATTGATTAATAATGATTTTAAATATATCTAATTATAATTATTAATTCTATAAAAGGTATATTATTACATTATTACAAAGATGTATTATATTACATACCTATGTTTACTATTCGACGTCCGAAACAAGAAGAAAGAAAGAAAAAAGGTTTCAATCCTTAATATATCGCGAATATAAAAAAAAAACATAACAGTATTATTTTCTAATCATAGATGTCACAATTATATATCTATTAATGAGTTTATTTTTCAATAATACTTATTTATAAATAATTCGATTTATAAGAAAATAAATCAATTTTCTTATAAATATTAAATTAATTAATAATTCAATAACAAAAATAAAAAAAAAACATTACATTTCAATAAATCCTTAAAAGAATTTTAGCGAAATTATACAGAATTACAGATAATATATAATATATTTTTTTAAAATTTTAATTTTTTATTCTTATAATTAAAAATAATATTTGATTTACCACTATTGTTTTTAATTTATTATTTTTAAGAATAAATATATTTTATACATTTATATATTGTGTTGTATATGTTTAAAGTATTCTAAGCTTTAAATTTATATAGTAAATAAGAAAAAGATGAAAGAAAAAAATCTAAATATAAGTTGATTTTGACAAAGCGACGTTGATAAAAAAATAGAATTGCTTTAGAAAAATAAATTCTTTAACATTACTAAATTATCTACATTTTATTATTTCTTAACAGATCAACTCGAATATTTTTAATAATATTAATAAAAAAATAATATCTTATTATATGTAATTTTTATGTATAAAATTTTAATATTTTTAATTTTCACACACAGATGAAAATACAAGAAAAAAGTTCATATTTTACTGTGGCACCAATTATCAAGAACAAGGTCCAGGCAATTTAAGTGATTATATTGATCCTGAATTTATGCCAGATTTTCTTGGAGGATCGTCTGAGGTAAGAATGAATTATTATAATTTATTGATTCTTGATTTAGGTATAAAATGTAATTTTAATATTAATAAAACATATCTTTCTCTCAGATGTGAACGTGTATGTTTTCATTTATATGCGGTAAAAAGTAATATAAGAATTAGTACTTCCAGTGATTAACATTTTTTAGTATTAAATTTTATACTTAGCAATAATATATTTTAATATGGTAGGACAATGTGTGCGAGATATATGGTATGGTACCTCGAAGATATTATATATTCAACGCAACTGCTAATAACGTAAGGATTTTTATATCTTTGATTTATTTGTTGAAAATTGTAGTTATATTTTGTGTTGTTTACGTTTCATTATTATCTTTTTTTATGAAATATTTGCACCTATTGAAAATATACTTTAATTTAATAATTAATTGATTTAATAATTAAAAAAAAAAAAAAGAAGAAGAAATATACATGTAAAATGTTATCTAATTGATGCACGAAAATACTAAATTCTAGGTATCATGTTAATTTAAAATGTAATTAAATATATGAATTCATTTATTCTTTTTATGAATTTCATATAAATCATATATAAAAGAATTAATAAGATATTAGATATTATAACTAAATTTTTGGCTAAATAAAAAATAATTAATTGACGAAAAAAAAGAATAACAAGTTAATAATTATTAAGATATAAGGTGAGAATTGATAATTAATGTAATTAAGTGTTATGTTATAATAATGAATGATATACTATGCTATAATATGGTATATTAAATAGGTATAGAACAATTAAACATTTAATCGGCATTTTTATTAAATGAGATAATATTATAACTTTTTCTTTATATTTTTCAAAATTATTATTATTTTGCATTTAATAATATCTGTTTCATGTAATGATATTTATTTCGGATGATATTTTCATCTTTTAGAATAGAAAAAAGTTGCATCGTTTTTTACAATATTTTATCAATAATTGTATAAATTGCTATTAAAAAATATGATAAAACACAATAAAGATAAATATATAAAATATAAAATAGTTTTTTACATATATGTATTTCTAAAAATTTATGAAATTTTATAGGAAAAAATTCATCACATAGAATTTTATACAATAAAAATTGAATAATTGACAATCTAAATTAATATTAATAAATAAATTATTAAGAGATTATTTATTGGATAAAAAGAATTTTGTATTCTGGTCTATATTAAATTTTACTTTCACTGTTCTATAAATATTCTATAAGTATTCTATTTTTATCCAACTATTATATTATAATATTATTATACAACTGCTATTATAAGTACTTAATTTGGATGTCGATTTTTCAGCAATTATTCAATTTTTACTGCGTATCAATTTAAGTATGTGATGTGAGAATTAGTGGTAGTATTTTTACAGTTCATATATGTTCATAAATTATGTACTTACACATATATTAATACAAAAATGTCACATCATGTTATATCTCCAATTTGTTTCCTTATGCTATTCCTTTCTATATACGTAAAATATACGTAATACATTATGGACTTAAAAAATGGTGCCTAAGGGCATTCCCGTTGAAATTGAAGACGAAGAAGAAAAATTATTAATTATTATATTTAAAAGGATTAAATTAAAAAAAAAATTGAAATACCTGATATTCACTTTACTGAATTCAATGGGGATTCCCTTTTAATGATGGGGATGATATCTATGCATACGTATTTGCGTGAAAAGTTCGAAATATATAACAAATAAATACTGTATGCATTATTTATTATGTTATCTTTTATAATACTTATAAAGGATTATAAGATATATTATAAGATAAATAGAACTATATTTAACATATATTTCTATTTATATTAGACTTACATCACCGAAGGAGGAATTGTTCCCAAACATCTTTATAAAATGGAATTAGAACCTACATCTATTCAAGAAGAACATAATCTGTATCATTCGATTAGTTTAAGTCGTGGACAAATTCATCGTGTAATAATTCGTTCAAATGATCCAGGATCAGTTTTAACATGGGATTTTGATGTAATGCGCCATAATATCATATTTACCGTACTTTATCAAGGTCATGATGATACAATTAATCCTTCTTTAGGTATGTATATATCAATAAAATGTAAAATAATTTTAAGTTTAAAAAATTATACATATAACTTTTAAAATGAAAAAAATATTTAAAAAATTGTTAGTACTCAGATTAAAATTTAACTTTAACAATTATTATTTGTAATATATTGTATATAATTTTATTATTTATTATTATCATTTATTATTATTGTATATAATTGTATAAATGATTAATATAAATTTTTCAGAAACTGTTACAGATGAAGATGCAGAACTGTTAGAAACAAAAGAATAAAAGGTCATTTCATTAAAGTTGAACCTAGTATTATTTGTCATGATGGTGAAAGTATTCAAGTAAGTATAAAAAAAAATTTAAATAAGAAGTACAATTAAAATACATAATAATTTACATAAAATCTCCTATTACTAATTCCTTATTGTACATAATATAACACAAGTATGCTATATGTTATGTAAAATATTTTACATAACATATAGCATACATATAATATATAATATATCTATATAATCATATAATAGAATTGAATGATATTCAAACTCGAAAATAAAAAATAACTAATTTCCGAAATTATTTTCTTTCTCTTATCAAATTTGTAATAAAAGTAATAATAGTTATAGAAATAAAATAAGTATATGTACAGCATATTCAATTACAAATATTAAAAAATTTAAGTAATTTTAGAGTAATTTTTCAAACAAAAGCAAGAAATCAAAAATAAAAAATTTTAAATTTTGCTAAATTTTTTCTTTTTAAATAATTTTAAAGATTCTATAAGGAATTTACAATATAATACGTAATAATTATATAAAACTTATTTATTTTTATACAGGGTTCTCACATAATGCAAGAAGCAGGTATATATATATTACAATGGCATAATCAAGATGATCCAGGAGAATTTCTTCCATCCATTAGTAGCCATAAAGCACAACTTATGTACTTCTATGAGACATTATCTTCAACTCATTATAGGTATTTCTTTAATTCTTAATTTTTATATAATTACTATATCATAAATATAATTATATAATTTAATGTTTAGGGGTTCCATGATGAGTTTGCAATCTGCTATAAGTACAAAATCAGAAGCAACTTCATTCTTGTCCAGATGACGTGTAAAAGATATTTCATAGAGAATTTATCAATGTTTAAAATTATGAAACATTGAGAATAGTGATTTAATTTTAATAAATTTATTAATTTGTTTTTGAATTTCTTCCATTATAATAATGTTTTAGCTTTTGAATCTCTAGTTTATAATAACACTATTTTAAATATGTTTCTATTAAATTGTAATCATTAATTAAAATGCACGAAATTTTAATTCCAAAAATATATATAACAATTTGAAGTATAATTTAAATTTTAAATTGGAAATTAATGTAGTATAATTGTTAATATTCCCTTATATTTATTTTAATATATTTTTATTTAAATTATATGAAGATTTTATATTCTATGTATTTTTTTTTACTTTATTCTATATATATTTTTTTAAATTATGTGCAAATTTATTAATTAATTTATTATTGTTTGATTTTATATATTTTATACTAAAGGAAAATTCAAATATAACACTTGATAATGATCGCCAAGCGTTAATCAATTATTAATATCAAAAATGGATTTGTAGTAAATAATAATTTGAAATCAGATTCAGTATAATAAAATATTAATTGAATAGGATTTTGTTTATTATATTATTTATATATATTATATTTATATTATATTTATAAAATTTATAATAAACAATGATTTGAATTTGATATCAATTTGTACAAATAAATATAATTTTGAACGTACATTAAAGTACATATATTACATATATTTTATTCACCTTATTGCTGAGTTAAGTTTTTTTTTTTTTCGTTTAAATCTTATATTATCGCTGATCGATGCTTCAAAATAGTTGCATATACTTATATATATTATGTTTTTATAAAATCATTATTTTAGATAAACATTGTAAAATGTAATAATTGTATTTTTTATATTAAAAATTAGACATATTATAATTTTAAAAAATGATAAAAGTATATTCAATCGATATCTTTATTTAATTGTACTTCATTTGTGACTATGCACTAAAAAGAAGTACGAATAAAGAGAGCAAATATTAAGAAAAGGATAAAGATTGAGCAAAAATTTTAAATTTAGCGCCATTTTCAATATACTGTAAATGAAATATATAAATATATATAAGGAAAAGACAGAAAATAGTGAGAGAAGGATAGAGCTAATATAAGAATTGATTGCTAGTGTCATCTCTTGAGTATCAAAAACGTTTTTTTAAAAATAGTAAAAAAATAAGAATTGAAAATCAGCGCCATTTCTGGATGTTTTCTGACATTCAAAAAATAACTAATACTAATATTATATTATTATCTTATTTTTATCTTTCTCTTATTATTTGTTCTCTTTGTTTATATGTTTGATTTACAATACCTTAATAAAGATGGCGCTGATTTTCAAATTTATAATATCTCTATCTTTCTTTCATTATTTTTCTAATTTATATTTGTTTTGTAAAATTTATGCGTTTTAAAAATTTATAGTATGAATATTAAATAAAATATTTTATATTTTATTTTAATATTTATTTTTATTAAAATTTTTATTAAATTTCGATATTTTGTTGTTTATATTACATAAATAATAATAACATTTACAATTGTATAAACTACATTAACAATATGTATAAATAAATTTAGCCTTATATATAATAGCATTATATTAAACATTATTTAATGACAAGATTTCATAAGTTGATATTTATATTTATTATATTGTAATAAAAAATAATTCATGAATAATTTATGCATAATTTAATTTACAAAATACTTTATAAAATAATTCAATTTTCGTAAAAATCAAAAGATTTATGAATATAATTCAATATATTTCGTTTATAATACATATTTCATATAATACAAACTTCATATAGCGAAATAATATACATATATTATTTTAGAAGATTCTCATGTTTATATATGTATAATGTTTTCATAATTCAGAAAATAGTGCTTAATTTATGTTTTGAAAAGTTATATTTTCAAAATTTATATATATAATTTATATAAATAAATTAAAGAGAATTTAGAATAAGTGAAAATTATATTGTTACATATAATATGGATAAATCTGAGAGTAATAAAAATGACTTTTTTCTTCGTATACAATATGCATTTCCTATTTTATATGAAAAGGTTTGTTTATATTTTATAAATATTCTAATAAATATAAATATAAAAAATATATTAATTATTATTTTTTTATTAATTACTTATTAATAATCAATCAAATATATATGATATTCTTGAAATATTTGTTTTTAATTTATATTTATTTTATACAGATTCAAAATGAATGTTCAGATAAAGAATTTATTGATGTGGTTAAAGAAATAAAAACATTGAATTTAACACAATTTGTTGAAGATGTAGTTATTTATCATATAGAATTATATATCCGACAAAATGTAGCACCTGCATTTTGGAAGAAGTTTACAAATAATATAAATGAACAACAAGGTTTTGAATATTTTAAAAGTGCAGTAGATGGATTATATACAAGTTTAACAGAATTTTTACCATTATTGAAAAGGTTAGAATATTTGATACAAAATGAAACAACTCAATCTATAACAAATGGAAACAATGTATTAAGTCGATTTAAATTAATTGTGAGATCTACATTATTAAGTCAATTACCACTTCACTATGAACATATAGTTGAACAATTTTATAAAATTGCATTCAATATATTCTGTAGTGCAGATGGTTCTGCTCAAGGTATTTGACATTATAAAATATTTTACAAGTTTTTAATTTTTATTTATTTAATATTTATTTTTATAATTTTTTATTATTATAATTGGCTAAATTTATAATTTAATTATAAAGAATAATGTAATTTAAGCATTAAAGTATATAAATGTAATTTATAATATATAGTATAAATTTAAATTCAAATAAAATTATTTATTTTATAGTAACTATTGGAAGTGATCCTGGAAAATGTATGGGTTGTTATCAAGAAGTGGAAAAATGTCAATGTCAGATGATAGTATACATGTTCCATGAAACAAATGGGAAATTAATTGAATTAGAATTATTAGAAAGATTAGTTGGTAATGTTCTTACATCATTGATACATATACGTATTAAAAATCATGTAAGTCAATCATGTGATAAAACATTTGATGTATCACAATTAACATCATTAGAAAATGTAAGATTTTATTATATTTTATTCATATAATATAAGTATAATATAAATTATATAATATAATTCAGTAAATAATATAAATATAATGCATATTATATTTATATTATTTATTGAATATCCAATAAATAATGTAATCAATATTTTATATTTTAGTGGCTTGAAACAGTTGTTATGAGTTGGTTAATAAGAATATATTCTGGTGGTTTCTCAAAGATTACATTCTTAAGTGATCAAACCCGTAATGCAATAGACAAATTTAAACAAAAATTATCTCATTTCTTATATGAAACATATACAAGATTTAGAATTGAACAACTCTTTGATATTATAATAGGTCATAAAAATTGTTTCAATTCATATATTATTTTATATATACATATATATATATTTATATATTATTTTTATTAATTTTTTTATTGTGTAGAATATCCTGATTCTCAACCTGCAATAGATGATTTACGTGTTTGTTTAGAAAGAACTGATTTACGAAAAATATTAATAGAAAGTTTACAAGAAGCTTTAAAAACAAGATTATTACATCCTGGTGTAAATACACCAGATATAATAACAGCATATATTGCAGCTATAAGAGCACTGAGACAGTTGGATCCCACAGGTGTTCTTCTTGAGACAATAACAGAACCTATTAAGTAATTATTATAAAATATTCAAAGTGAATTAATTTTTTAAATTAATATTATTATTGAATTTGCAATTTATTTGAATATTTTTAGAGTTTATTTAAGAACCAGAGAAGATACTGTACGTTGTGTAGTAAGTGATTTGCTTGATGATTCACCAAGTGATCTAGCAGATGAATTAGTCAAGGGTGAATCTTTACAGTTAGATGATGGTTCTGGTGATGAAGAAAATGAAGATTGGGATAAATGGATGCCAGATCCTGTTGATGCTGATCCTGGTATGTTTATAATGTATTAAAAAAATTAATTAAATCACTGAATATATATTTTATTTTATCATTAATTATTTTCAATCTTGTTTTCAATCTTCATTCTCATTTAACATATTTTTCATTTTTATATTCATTTCATTAGATTAAATAATATTTAGCATTTGATTAGATAATATTTAAGTAAATTATTTAAATGATTATTAATATTAAATATAAATGAATAAAAAAAATTCATTTTATGATCATTAGATTTATTTCTTATTAATTTGAATATTTTTAATCTTTTAAAATATGTAAAAATTTTTATTTTGCAATTTTCATATAGAATAAGAAACTATTTTTTTCTGCTTATTATAGAATATTTAAAAAATACTTATAATAATTTTGTAAATTATTTTTTAAATAATTATTTTCATTTTTGATATTCATTACTTGACTTCTTTTTTATAGTTTTTTTTATAATACTTGCATTTAAAATATTAGCTTATCTTTTCTATTATCTTATATAATACAAAAAACTAAAATACAAAAATAAAGCATGCATTTTTATTTACTAATATATAATATATTTATATTTTCTTTTTTCTATAGCAAAATCAGCACAACGCAGAATGTCAGATATAATATCAATGTTAGTAAATGTATATGGTAGTCAAGATTTATTTGTAAATGAATATCGTACATTGTTAGCAGATAGATTATTATCTCAATTAAATTATCATACTGAACGAGAAATTCGTCATTTAGAATTGTTAAAAAGGCGTTTTGGAGAAAATCAACTTCATTATTGTGAAGTTATGTTAAAAGATGTATATGATTCTAAAAGAATAGATGGACATATACAATCTAATACTAGTTATACTTTAGAGAAAGATCATTTTCCTACATCTGCATTAATATTATCAGCCCAATTTTGGCCACCATTTAAAGAAAATTGGAAATTGGAGTTACCTAAAATTGTACAAAATCAATTAAATAAATATGTAAAAGCATTTGAAACTTTGAAAGGAAATAGAACACTTTGTTGGAAACCTCATCTTGGAAATGTTACATTAGAAATAGAATTAAAAGATAGAAAATTAGATATAAATGTAACACCAATACATGCCACAATTATTTTACATTTTCAAGATAAAAGTAAGAAATATTTACATTTTATTTAATTCATTATAGGTCATTTAATTTTTAAATTTTTATTAAATTTATTATTAATTTATTAAATGTTATTATATTATTGAATTTGCAGAAGAATGGGCTCTAGAAGAACTTGCAGAAATAATGCATGCTCCTGCAACTGTATTAAGAAGGAAAATAACTTTTTGGGTTTCCCAAGGTCTTTTAAAAGAATTTCCAATGATATTTTTATATTACAAGAAGAAAGTTCAACCAAAAATAGATCTATAACAGACATTGTTGAAGAAGAAGAAATAGAAAGCGCAATGGCATCTGCAAGTGATCAAAGAGAAGAAGAACTTCAAGTGTTCTGGTCTTATATTGTTGGCATGTTAACTAATTTAGATTCTATGCCTCTAGAAAGAATTCATCAGATGTTAAAAATGTTTGCATCTCAAGGTCCAGGAGCAATGGAATGTGGCTTACCTGAATTGAGGCAATTTCTTGATAGAAAAGTTAGAGAACATCAATTATTGTTTTCAGGTGGCTTATATCGTTTACCAAAATCATAAAATTATTACTTAATTATTTATAATTATAATGATATGTAATAAATCTATTAATATTTAAAAAGTTAATTACATAATAATAAAGTTTTTAAAAATTCAAAATTTATAGACATTGATAACATCATTAAAGAATAGAGTTTATATTAATATTTAAATTTTATTATGCACTATGCAAAAGAAATCAAATGAAATTCATTTTTTTCTAATTTATGAATTATATTACAAACAGAAAATAATTGCTAATAATATAAATAAAATACTAATTTGTACATAAATAAAATATATACATAATAAATTCAATTATTAATGAAGTTAAATTCATAGCATCGTAAATTGTAAATATTTATAGATATAGATAATTTTAGTATATTATATAACATTGTAAAGAATCGTATATATACATATAATTAAATTATAAATATTACATTTTAATAAAATTTGAAGTGACATACTATTAATTTTATTCAATTACAATTTATTTTTTTCTATCTTATTTGTACTTGAAAATATTAAAATATCATTACTATATCTTTACAGTAATTTTCTTCATTCTTTCTAATAAATTTAAAACAATTTCAGTAAATAATGGAAAAACAAAGTACATTTAATAAATAAATTTTTTAAATAATTTGAAAATAAAATTATTTTATATTTTGACCTGTATTTACTACATATTTTATATTGTTGATTTGAATATCAATAATAAAATAAAATATAAAACAAATCATTTTAATAAATTTTGACAAGAATTAAGCAATTATTGCGATAAATGTAAATAGTAAATACAAATATTAACAAAACTTTCATTCATACACACACGCACACGCACGTATACACACACACACACATACACACAAAAAACATATATATGCATAAAGGGTACATACACATGTTGTTTATATAAAGTATTATAATTATAAATTTTAATATCTTAATTTTTAAAAAATTTTTATTAATAATAATGTTTTTTTCAACATTTTATAACAATATATTCCATATTGTTATTATATTTAATATACATAGAAATAAACAAATATATATTTTTTATTATTATTAATCATTAATAATACCAATCAAAGATTTGTATTAGTATTATTAATATCATCATATCAATACAAATATTTTACACATAATATTTGTTAATTTTATAATTTCTCTTATCATTTTTTTTAAATTTTCAAAATTCTGTATATATTTTTTATAACATAATATGCGTATGTACCTGCAATACTAGTATAAAGCTTAAAAAACATGTAAGTTCATCTACATATAAACAGTCAATAGATATATATATAATAGTTTTAACAATATAATGTTAACAGGTATCCACTTGTTTCATCATTACGTATTTGTATCAAAAGATGAGTATGACTTATTGAAACGCAAAGTTGATAAAACGTATACATAAATAAACAAAAAGTAAATAAGAAATTAAAAATAAAACATTTTTTATTGATCATATAGATTAAATCATATAGATTTAGAATAGATATATCATATATTTTTAGTATCATAGTAAAAAAACTAAATAATCGATTGATCTATATTCGTATTATATATTAAATTTTAACATGCTCAGTGAAACATTTGCTTATTCATATTGATATGTAGTGATAATACCATACGCGAAAAAAAAACAAGTGAATATCCATTTTAAGGGAAGTTAAAAAGTGGAGATTACTTTGCCGAATTTAAAATATGTTAAATATATTGGATTGAATATATATTCAATCAAACTAATTCATACTAATTCATAACTAATTCATAATCTATATAATAATAATATACTCTTAAACTGGAAAATGTTTAATTTTTAAGAAAATATATAACTTTTATTTATATATATATATCATTGTATATATTATACAAATTAATTTATATATCGATTATTGATTTTAATTTTTGAAATTTAGAATATTTTTATTCAATTTTTTCTTATCATTAAAAGAAATTACAGTAAAAAATTGCTCATAATGAATAATATATGAATTTAATAAATGATTAATATTATTATTAAAAGAAATCTTTATGTTCATATTATATTCATATTTATATATGTTCATATTATATTTATATTCATTTATGTCAATATAAGTCATAATCATAAATCATATAAGTCAATAAAAGAAGAAATACATATTCTAATCATATTATTGCACTAAATACACGGCAAAAGTTTCATCAATTTTCAACTTCCCCTACTCTTATATGAATTTGTAAAATATTTATGTTTCTTTTGCATAATATATTTTTAATTATACATATTGTAGAATATAATATAATGAATATACTACTTTAAGCTATAAACTTAAGTAGAATTCAGATCACTCTTAGAGTACAATTAGACCAAGAAATATAATCTATTTACACAAAATAATAGTTATCTCTCCTTATATAATCGAAAATGTTCGAAATGCTTGTTTAAAATACAAGCTTGTTATATAGATTACTAAATATACACAAATGAACATGATAAAAAGTTCTTATTAATACATGTACATATGGCAAATCTAAAGAATCAACAAAATATTCTTGTATATCTAAATGGTATATTTAATAGTAAATAAATCAATCTCACATATAAACACTCTCATCTATAGATAACTTCATTATATAACATTATAAATGTAGATATATTGCAAATAACGAAAAAGATAATAATAAACAATTTCTTTTTTAAAACAACTGTTGTTAATTAATTTAAATTACGATTTGTATTTGTATAAGAATATCAGTTTTAAACATGATTTTTTTATCTACATTTATTAAAAAAAATAAAAAGATATTTTTTGTCTAAAAATGCAAATTTATCTAAATAAGCAAAATTGAAAATATTCAATAAATGATCAATATCTATTATTTTACAAGTAAATTGCACCGTAATTATATAATAGAATTTTTAAATTATAAAATAATAAAGTGTTATATCTTTTTTATGTTAAAAAATGGAGATTCTTTCTAGCCACACAACAAAGAATTTAAAGAAACATTTAATATTCTTAATATCTATTTAATATAATCGAATATTTTGATTTTTTTACTTTTCTTTGATCAAATTAATAAGAATTAGTAAATTGATCAAATTAATAAGTAAATTCGAAGAAACAAATGTAAAATATTTAGTCTATAAGAATTCGTTTATATTATATTATGTAATACGTATTTAAAGTACGTATTAATATTACAATTAATTCATATGCCATTAAAACTTTACCTATGTGAAGAACTGTCTTACTTACATTAAATAGAAATATTCTTAAATTTGTATCTTCAAGCTTTTTTCTTTTCCTGAGTCAAAGTATTCAATTCACTTAATCAAAATGAAAACAAATTTTGATTTTATATTGCACCTATTACACATGAATATATTATTTTCTATGTTACATAAAATATATAATATTATTTAAATTTTTAGCCCATTTTCTTTTCCTATTCATTTTGCTCTAATAAAGATGTAAGTACTAAATTGATATAACTATTATGCAAAAAAATTCGTTTTATAATCTGCGATAATTGTCTTAAATAAAAAAAATGTGTATATCATAATGTGATCTTAAAATGAATTTTTATTATTTTAGACAGAACGTTTAAAAAGTGTGATATAACAAAAAAAATGAGATTCTTATATTAGTAACAAAATAATTTAAAAAATAACTTGTAAATAACAATATTATTGTTAATTGCAATATTATTATCCATTAGTTATATATAAATATTCTTATGCATGTAATCAAATAATTGCATTTACTATGCTCAATCATGAAGTTATCTATTAAAATAATCTCAATCAAAATTTATCTTAATTATAAATGTATCAGATATTGATCATAAATATAAAATGCATTATTAAAAATTTAATATTTTATCATCATTATGATGATTGAACCAAGTATTTTCAGAATATTTTCTAGCTAAAAACAATGTATAAGTATAATAAAAGAAAAATTATTTATATACATTATAAATTCCTATTTATAATAATGTTATAATAATAATAATGCACCTATTAATGTTTTATAATATATATCGTCAGAAATTCAACTTTTACTAATCACATATATTTGAAAAATGGTATCGAAGTTATTAAATACAGTGAATTTTACGAATCAATTTAAAGTAATTTACGAGTCAATTTAAATAATTAATTCATGAATGAGAAATAATAATAAAAAATTAATTTTTTGAAACAAAAAAATAAATCTTAAAAATGTATCTTAATATCAAAATATTTTTATTTTTATAAATTATGCCAAATGACTTTTTATAAATTATTCAATAATTCTCAACAAATATTTTATTAAAAATCATTCATTTTTTTAGTTATATCACGCCTTATGAAACGTTTTATATATGGAAAAGTTTAAAATTTTGCGTATCTTAATAATGAATAAGTTAATATTTTAAGTGAAAAATCGAACTGTTTCATAAATTGTATCGGATTGTATCCGATATTTAAACAAATTGATAAAAAATCAATCATTATAGAATGTATTAAAAAATAATAATTCGAATGATTCTCCTTTTTTTAAGGAGAAAAAAATTAATAATAAATTATATTTGCATTGTTAATAAATTTCTATTCATTGAAAAGATCTGCGCAATAGAAAAATAGGCATGATTGTAACCCATTGTTGCAGAATAGAATAAGTGTTGTTCGTTATATTGAAAATCAAGATACATTTAATCATGATCCTACTTAAATTGAATGATATATTTCTTATTGTTCGAAAACAGAAAATGAATCCTTTTTCATCAATAAGTAACTCAGAATCAAAGACTTAATTACCTGTCCGACGTTGAAGTAAACGCCAGTAAAAGTAAACGCTAACAAAACGAACAAAGCAATTTAAACGAGGCTTTACAATTTAAAGACACGAGGGTACAGGATGGATAAACTTGACGAAGAACAGGGCTGGTGATGCGAACGACGAAGGTGGTCATCTGGTTGGTGAACCGATCGAACGCGGATGTTGTTCCAGAGTCCAGGTGTTAGCACGGGGCGAGTGGATTCCATTGTTAGCACTCCAAGCCTATAGGCCATGGGCAACCAAGGTTAAAAAGAAAGAAAAGAAAAACAGTTTGTTAGTAATTTAATTATGATTGATTCATGTTAACATTAAGTTTTTGAATAGTTCGATAGTTGAAAGAAATACAGTTAGTGGGAAGCACTGCCTTTCCTTAGATATTTAATTATTTTAAATTGTACGATTAAAAAAAAAAATTCATTTACACAAATCTAATAAGAGATTTGTTTCATTTATTTCAACATTATTTTGCATACACACATGAAAGATAAAAATTAATATATTAGAAGAAACGAATATAATAAAACAAATAACGACTAACAAGCAACTGCTTCGCACTTCCTTTTGATCAATATTAGTATATAAGCATTTATTTTATATAAAACGTGACAGAGACATTGTCAGAATATTATATATCGACGAAATAAAGCTCATACTTCGTTACTTGTCATTCATCGTTTACAATTAATAGGCCTTCTAATTACAGAAAAATAATGAATTTCATATGCATATGATTTGACGAAAATAGTTATGATATTTATAAAATATTAAAAAATGATATTCTTTTTTATAAAAAAAATTTGATCGATAATTAGAGAGTTAAAACTATGTATTTTAGTTATAAGTTTTATATAATCATGTACCCTCCCCGCGTTTAGGATAGTTGAGAAGATAAATCGTACAAAATTTTAAAACAAAATGATTTTAAGATATAAACAAATGTAAAAAAGCAGATTTAGAATAGTAGATGATAAGATGATTTTAGTTATTCAAAATGCAAGGAATTCGTTATTTCCCAAAAAACTTGGTATCATTTTGTAGGCAGCTTGGGTGTGCACCTGCCACCAAATAGTAGCGTTAAATGACATTGTACGTGTGTATGATATTAAATACATAGTTACAGTAATATTATTATTCTGAATTGTATTAATTATAACAATTAATATCCTATCAACAAGCAGGTGTCAAAAGGCCAATGAATTACACGCGTGTTGTACAACAAGGATTTATTGTACAATTTTTAAAAAAAAGCATACTGTTGTATAGTGTTAAAATTTGTATATATTAAACTATATATATATATATGTAGCGTTAATTGTCTAGCAAAACATGTAGAAAGGAAATATATATATATATAACAAATTAATAAATTCATAAATTTTTTAGCTAATCACTTGCTTGTCTTAATGCATTAAATCATTTTTATTCTATTATTATTGATAATATTTGTTTTTTTCATTAATATATGAAATGTAAAAGAAAAGTTATTAATTATATAAAAATATGAGATATTATTTTTTATTTTTAAGTTCAAAAATAATATTATATTACAATAAATATTGATATTAGAATATTATGAAACACGTCCAATGTTTTTTCATTATAATTTTGAATTTGATAAATTACTTTTTCTCTTTTTTTTTTTTCCTCAAACTCTGGATGATTTTAGAATTAAAAATTAACTCTTTAATACTGTAACATATGATAAATATATACGTAATATTACTTAAATATAAAATGATATAAATAATTAAAGCATATAAATTGCTTTAAAATAACAAACATTTTTTAGTTTTCATCTAAATTATTAAATTATAGATATATTGCTATGAAATATATTATATACACTACATGAAAATATATATACTATATAAATAAAAACATCAAGTTAGTGTCAACTTGGCCGTGTGGAGCATTTTTGGTTAGTTTTATAAAGACAATGCATAGTTATACGTTTCGTGTAAAAAAATGAAATCGCTTCTATAATAAAGGTGCCATTATAAATTATGCGTGGTATTGTTAGTGGTGATACATAAAAAAGGATAGGATGCATTTTTAGGATTAAATTATGAAATATTTTACTTCTACATATAGAAATTCACCAAAAATTATTAATTAAAAAAAAAAAAAAAAAGAAAATTGCTTCATGAAGAGACAAAAAAACTTGAACTAATAGAGTAAAATTAGTTGATTATGTTCTCTTCTTGGGATGCTAAAGAAAGTTACGATTAAATAAATGTGATATTTACAGGAAAATATTTATGGTACGTATATTTTTAAATTTGTATATTTTCGTGCGATATTAAGTGATGTCCTGGATTCAGGTGGAACGAAAACATCCTAAATTGAAAAATAATACAATAAAATAATATTTGAATATATGTTGATATATAGCAAGCCTTCGCATCGTATCGTAGTACCACCCCTGTTATCTTCGTTCGAAATAAATAAACTAATATTTTGTATTTTGTATAAATATTTATTTTAAATGCGCGCGTGATACGCATATACACGCATAAAACGGCAGACGTGAATGGAATGAATAAGTGTTCCACAGGCACAAGTTGCCAAAATATTAATCAATTCTGATATATGATTGATAATTTGATCGTGATTATAGATTTTTATATATGTTTAAAAAATATATATATATTATGTATAAATCTCTTGTAGTAATGTTGTTTCGAAATTGATTTCATATTTAGTCATAAAATGAAAGTTTCATCTTCTTCTTTCCCTTTCACCTTTATTATTTTTAATTTATATACTTTATATTATAAACTATTATTTAATTATTAATAATTATAATAAATAATAAATATTTTTTTTAATACTAATACTATAAAAATGCGAGAAATTGCTATAAAACTGAAAAAAAATGGATAGGTGCGCACCCATACCATACCGTAGTTTCTCGATCATCTATCTTCTTGTTTTATAACATAAAAAAGAAAGAATGACTAACAATATTTTTTTTTTAAATATTTTTAGTTTTGATACCTAATTGCGGGGAGTTAACATTATCTTGAAACTTTAAAACTTTTATAATCAAGTATATAAAAAAAAATCTAAAAAGATATAGAGTAATATATAAAAACTGTAATGCTACATATATTTTATCAGTTTTATCAATTTATGCGACAACAATAGTTTAAAATTATTTATAACGATAATAAATTAAAATTAATAAAACAAATTGCAATATTTTGCAGAAAAAACTAAATTATTAATATATTTCTTTCTTTTTTTCTTAATTTAAAATCTCCTGTAGAAAAATATGAATTAGAATTTATTTTTATAAAAATATAAAATTTATATTATAAACATTTTTTAAATAAAAACTAAACATATTTAATTGAGAATCACATATTTTAAAAAATCTTTAAATATAAAAAGTCTAAGAAACAACACATTTAAAATGATAAGTATATTTTAAAATTAAGATTTAAAAATTATTTATTTTATTAATTAAATATACTGTTGCTACGATATAATTAAAAAGATTTATAATTTTGAAAAAATATTCCAATATATAGGCTATTTATAAAATCTTTGTAATAATATATAAGCTTTGTAAAATTCATAATATAAATAATATAAATATTTAATAAATAAATTATTAATTTTTTTATAACTAAAAAAATAAAAAAGATAGAATGAAGAAGAAAAAGAAAGAATTTCTTTCTAAAAATTTCAATAATTTTTCTTGAACTTTGAAGCTTTCTCAAAAAATTTTATCTTTATATGTATTCAAATTTTTATACATATATTTTTTAATATATGAGTACATTTTTTTAATATATGTAGAATCATTATATTGTAAACGTTTTATAATCAAATAATAAGAAATATTTTTATTTTGACAAATTTCTGATAAAGAAAATTTCAAGTAAATAATACATCTTTATGACATTCATTTCCACTAATTTGAAATAAATATAGAATTTTTATTATTACAAATAATTAATTATTTTAATATTAATATAATAATTGAAAGTAACAAAGTTCAAGAATAATAAGCGAATTCTATAAAAAAAAAAACTTCTTTTACAAGTAACGCGAGCTATGTGAAAAAAAAAAAATACAATTAAAAATGGGACGAAACCTAATTTTCAGATTCGTGAAGCTCGAATTCGAAAATAAGATTTCAAAATACTCGAAACTTTCAGAACTCAAAATCTTTTTTTCTCCTCTTCTTTTTTTTATCTAAAGATTTTACCAAGAAATGTTTATTAATTCTAATTTTTGAAATTCTTCAAATGCAAATTGATAGTCAGATAATAAAAATAACAATCATTTTTTTTAATTTACAAAAGTTTCGATTTCTCTATAGAAATTATTGTAATGCAAAATTATAGCAATTAAAATAAATTAAACGCTTTAAACACTTAAGATTAGTATTGATTAAATAAAAATAAAATCATATTACAACATTCAGTTTTTATAATCGCAAAATTAGCAAAAAATTTCGAAACTTTTGAATTTTTGAATTTCAAAGAGTTTTAAAATTTCGAGTATTATATTTCTAAATATAATGTATAACAGCGTGATATCTATATATCTGTATTTTTATATAATATATATGGATATTATATACATATAGAGATACACGATATATGGATATTACAAAAGAATAAAGTAAATCGGAATAAAATATAAAAAATGGTACGTTTCTAGGAAACTAACCTTTTCGCGGAGGCGCGTACAGTATTGAAATTGCGCTCTCCGGATTCACGACAAAGCACCAGCCCTTTGATAAGGGTGTTCGCGAATCTGACCCAAGTGCCTACGTTGTTTCGCAGCGGCTGCTGCACCTGTCCCCAACATACAAATGTGTATAATTCATCTGCTTCCATATGCATATATCAATTTCCAGTCCTCGGCAGGTCACTTAACCGCCGCTACAAACAATAATAGTAAATTAAAATTATCCATAAATTGATAATTAAAACGCAAACCAATACTTTTAATATTATACATTTTCCCAAGTATTTTCTTCTTTTTTATATTTAAATTTTATATTTTATATTTGCATGTGCGATATGATAAATCAGAAATTTTCTTTGCCTTCTATCAGTTTGCGTTTAATGAAGCAAATTTTTAAATTCGAAACAGAAATTATATTTCATATCATACATATCATATTCATATTATATTTTATACATGATATATCTGATATGTTCAATATATTAATTAATATGAAAGTATATGTACACGTGTATTAATAGTATTAATTATTAATATTATATTATTTTAAATCTTTTATGTTTTGCTATATATATTTAAAATATTTTTATCATTCTAAAATTTTAATTTTTTTCATCAATTTATAAATAATTAATACTTTACACTTGTATATATAAAAAAGAGCAAGCAAGAAAAATATATATTTAACAATAAAACATTAATTATATTAAACTGTCGTTATTTTTTAACATTCAAAATTTATAGAATATTTATATTATTAATCTATTAATTAAACTTAGAATGCTTAAACTACTAGCACGCATCTATTACTATTTGAAAATTGTTTAAAATAAATTATAATTAATTAAAAATCATTTAATCACTAATTTCTTATATTTATAATACTTTTAATTTATTTTAATATTCATTTGTGTTGCAAAACCCGATGTAATTTTTATAAGAATTCAGATAGATCAATATGACTTTTAGAAGTAAATTGATTATCTGTCTTATACTTTGTTATTTAAATATATTTCATGCATAATCATCGTAAAAATAATATCAATAATATAATATATCATATATATCAATGAAATATTAAATATATGCATTACAAAATTTTCATTTTTTTTTCCTTTCTTATTATCTATCAAATACATTAAATATATATTAATAATATATTAATACTTAATACTAATATAAAATTGCATAGAAATATTTGGTCCCTAAAACATTGTTTTTATTATTGCTTTTTAAATCTATATCAAGTAAAATTTTGTTAGAATAAAAAAATTCAATAAAATAAATTCCTATATATTTTATATTTAAATTGCATTTAATTATTATTAAAGTAATTCTAGAATAAAAATTTTTATACGTTTGAGACTTTTTTAATATTAAATATAAAATATTATAACAACATTAAAAGAATACTTAACTTCTTATTTCTTATTAATATTTAGCTGTCAAATTTTTTTTTATTTTTGAATCTGTGTAATTTTGATATAAATATTAATAAAAAAAATATTAAAAATAAATTTTATTTTTTTTAAAGAAAGAACAAATAATATAAAATATAATAATAATAAGACAATTTAAAAATATAGTTTTGGTATAAAAAAATTCAGAAAATGTTACTAATATTTCCTAAAATATATAATTTTATTAATACAATACCAAAAACTATTGAGTATAAATTATTTTTGGTTTTGATTTCATATTTAATCAATTTTGAGTAAAATCTTTAAAAAAAATTTTTACTATAATTATAAATTTGAAAAATTTATATTTTTTGTGTTAATATAATATTTTATTTAAACGATGATTAGTAAAAAAAAATCTATTAACGTATAAAAAAAGACTGATTTTCTTTTAAGAAATATACATGTACATATTATAATTATTTTCCAAGTTTTGACAGTCGTTTATAACATTTGCTATAAAAAAATTGTGATTTATTTATAAATCACATTCGATTAGTTTCAGAAAGTAAAAATGGATAAAGTAAAAATATATAAAAAATATCTATTTTTAATTTGTAAGTGATAACTATTATTTATGCATAAAATACAATTTCTAGAGTTAAATATGTCTATTATACGTTTCTTTCTTTAGAAGAAAGATATATACAAGATATTTTTGTACGATGATTCTCTATATTCAATATATGATAAAAATTGAGCGCAATTTATTCATCTCAATTTAATTTTCTTAATCCTTAAATTATTTTTACTTTATGCACATCTAATGTATGATCCAGCTTCAATATATATATTGATATATATCGAAATTTTCAAAAACATTATAATCATATAATTGAAAAATATTTATTTACATTTATGATTTCAATACAATTTTCAATATGATTTAAAAAGATAAAAAATAAAGTGACAAAAACTAATAAAAACGAAATAAATAGATAATGTAATATATTTTTTATGCATATAATTAGAAATATTTAATATGTCTAATTATATAATTTTTTTAGAAAGCAATTATTAATGAAGAATAAAAAAACTAGAAATATAGATGTGCATTTGTAAATTATGTATCAAACTATTGTACATTAAATTTTACATAAATTTAATAAGCGTACATTTAATGTTTATTTATTTTTTATAGTGTAAAACTTTATATAAATAAATAATAATAATATCATATATAAATATAAGAAATGGCCTTATTCTTTTGACTTAAGATATTTTCATTTTTCAAATGCGATGTAACTTTTAAATTTATTTATAATTTATATCTTGTAAAAGGCCTTAAAATATTTTAAGACTAAAAATAAACAAATTTCTCGCACCAATGAGAATAAATATAATATATATAATAAACATTTAAAAATATAATTCCACAATATATAACAGTGAAATTTATAACATTTCAAAATTTGCAACAATAAATAAAATATATTAAATTATATTTTATGTTAATAAAATTTATAATATTAATAAAATTTATATTTGATTTATAATATAATATTTGCACTTATAAAAATTAAATCCATTTGTATAATATGTCATATTAATTAAATATAAAAACTGAAAATCTGAAAATATAAAAAGAAAAGAGATATATTTAATGTTTTCTTTGACGAGAAATTGGCTTATTTCTTTTCTTAATTCCTATTCTTTAAATTATATTAATATTGATCATTTTATTAAAATTATAACAATAAATAATATTTGATTTTTTCATTAAATATTCATTATATAATATATATATATAATCAATATAGCAATGCACCATAGAATCGACATACAGATGTGTTGACATGTGCATATTCGTTCTTTCATATTTTTTTAAATAATACAAATAAAATACGTTGCATGTCATAGGACTTGATATATTTAAAAAATAAAATTTTTTATTAATTACTCTCCTTTAATAATGTCAAATGTAAAAACAAAAATTATGATTAATGTTTATATATATAAATATTCAATATCCAAAATTGGCTTATTTATAGATATTTTAGAACTTTTCTTCTAAAAAAAATTCATATAAAAGCGACTCTTTTTTTTTATATTTATAATTACAAAATTTATTATTTTATATGAGTTATATATATCCTCAATCATAATTTTTAAATTACATTTAAATCGATTTTATTCGATCTATTTAATTGAAGTAAATATGTTAATTAATATTTTGTTTTATACGAATATTTTATATATCAGGAATTAATTTTTTAAATAAAATCTATATCAAAGTTTTACTGAAATTTTGATTACGAATTCTTTTATATTATAAATATAATATTCGAGCATGTTATAGTACTTAAATGCAATAAGAAAATGATGATAGATATAAGAATATAAATAAAATATATAAGAATTATAAATAAAAAACAAACAATATAATAAAAAATTGTATAATGAATATAAAATAATATAAAAAATAAATTTCAATCAATCTAACCTTTAATAAATAATTTAATTTCGATAATTATTTATTCATGTACGTATTTATACAGAGAAAATTATTATTATTTTCAATTATAATAAGATTTATAATTGAATTGAGAGTATTTTATTTTTCAAACATATCATACCTACTGAACACATTGATGATTTACACTATGTGTAATAAATGGTAACGAATGTATGAGTGTATAATTTGTCATACAATAATCGAGTATTTTATTAACAAAGAGAAGATTAATCTTCATTTTTAATCGATACGATTATGCGTAACTATGTATATACATATATGCGAATCGATTTCTTATATTAATCGCGTAAAAGTTTGAATACTGTACGTATTGAAATCTTGTTTGTTTTAAACAATTAATGAAATTCGAGTATATAAAACAAAGATATTAAAATACCTTAAAAAATCTCAAGAGAACATCATTTTAAAACTATATATCATCTGATAAATTTCGAATAAAAATGTGATTGATTAAATTTTTTTAAATCATAATATGACTTTAATAAATTTGTAATTATATGAATAGGATTTATAATTCTATTAAACAATATAGAAAATTTAACAATAAAAATGTAACAATATACAACCTTTAAAGAAATAATTCTTTTACTTTTTTTGAGAGTAAAAGAGAAAACAGTCATACCGGATAAAAATAAGTAACATTGTTACTTAAAATATAAGAGAAAATAAATTATTTATAATCTTACGAAGTTATTCCAAAAATTATTTAAATATTTAGAAAAAATAATCTAAAAATTAAATAAGAAAATTTTTCTTGTCAAAATTAATATTTTTCTTGTTCATATAAATACGCGATATGATACAAAAATTTATAATATTACATGTTTAGTATCTAGCAACTACTATAATCCTTTTTTTGGAACTCCACGACTTTCTCTTTACGATATACATATTACATCAAATACTTCTAGTATTTCTAGCTGTTGTTTCAGAAATGCGAGTTATAATATTATTGAATAATTAATCATTGTTAAATAATTATCAAAATTGATACGACTAGCAAATGACTGATGTGAATTTCTTAATATAAACCTTCAATAATATAATAAAAATAATACCACTTAATCCTATTACCTGAAATAATATCAAATTTTTAATTTTTATTTTTTAATATTAACTATTGAATTCTGAATCTATTAAAATCATCACGATTTCCATGCCAATCAGAATGATAATCACAAATTTAATGTAATGATATCAAAAACAATAATAGCATCAATAAAAGATTATATCAATAATAATAATAATAAAAAGATAATATATAATGATAATAGAATTCTATAATAATAATGATAATATTAATAATAAATAATAATAAGAATATCAATAATAATAATAATAATCGTTTTTTAAGTGCGATAAAATAATTTACGATATAACTTTTTTTTACGATATATATAAAAAAATACATATAACACATATGTAAATATGTATTTTTTTTATTTATCAATGGAGAATCCTTTTATTATTTTTATTTTCAAAAAATATATATATATACACATTTATATATGTGTATATATAAAATGATATGTGTATATATATATATATATATATATATATATATATATAT